AGTTCCTGTCAACCCAACAGTTTGAAAACTCACGTGAGTAGACAAATGGGTACTCTCACTCTGGTGGGGGGAAAAATGCTGGTGAAGCCTTGCAAAAAGGAGTTGGGAGCAGTTGCCGGTAAGTGCGAAAAACTGCGTGGGCCCGAAAAGAGCGCGAAGCAACGGAAACCCCGCTTCCTGCGCTCACCAGCTGGGCTCTGCCCTAGGAAGGAGGCTCTGGCAAACCCCTTTTGAAAAACAATTGCCTTGAAAACTGCAAGGACTCATCCAAGCAGTCACTGCAGGGTCAGCAATGACTGAGCGCAGACAAAAAAAAAAAAACAGGAGCAGAAATCTAAGGGTCAGAAATGTTCAGGATTCCTGAATCAGGCCCTCGAGACTTAGACTCATTCGTGATGGCTCTGTGCCTGCCAATATCTTTCCTTATCTTGGTTGCTCCTCCCTCCTTGTGTCAACTGTTTGCTTAGATCCATTTGAACACAGTTCCGTGTGGGGGAGAAGATTGCAACGAAGTAGGAGCCGAGGAGCTCTGCCCTGTCCCCATTATCTCTCCATCCCACCATCTTATACTAGTAGCAGACCCATCCTCCCTTTATCTTCCTTTTGCTACATACACAGTGGGGGAAAATGCTACTTTTAGCTCGCCTTGCAATCTTCAATTTTTCTAACTCTCTGCAGACATCAGGGACTATTTGTTGGTACATCTCCTTGGATGGTACACCCATCTTCCATTTCCTATAGATGTTCCTTTTAACTTGCAGCTTAATTAAGAGCTCCTTATGCATCCGCAATGGGTTTCTAACCTGACCCCCCTTTTTTTCCCTCATTGGAATGATGTGCGATTGTAGTTCTTTATCTTATTTTTGAGGAATTCCCATCTCTCCTAGTTTGAGGATTTGTGCCCATGGAGTCCCATCTAGTACTTTTTGAAGCTTATTGAATCTGGCTCTCCTGAAGTCTAGTGTGCATGTATGCTCCAATTTCCCTTTCTGCAGTATCTTGAACCCCAGGATGACATCGTCACTTTCTCCCTGGCTTCCTTCTGCATTTCCCATTTCAAGCAGCAATTCCTCTTGGTTAGGATCAGAACTAGGAGTCCCAAACCCCTTGTTCCTTCTTCAGCCTCCCAGAAAGTGAAACTGTCAGCAGGACCGTGAAGAAGGCCTTGCAGTCTTGGCTGAGTTGGTTTTCCAACAAGTGTCCCAGTAACTGAAGTCTCCGATTTAGGCTAAGCCTCTCTTCCCTGAGAGTTCTGCAATCAGGTCCTATAGCACATTGCCACAATGAAACATTTGTTTCTTCCCCTTCTCTGTATTCCACCCAAATGTTCTCAACTGAACCTTTGTGCTCAGATTCATGGATTTCAATACATATGTGTACTTCCTTCATATAGAATGGCATTCCTCCTCCCTTTTTGTCTGGCTGGTTCCTTTTGAATAAATTATACTCTTCAGTCCTTGCTTTCCACTGGTGGGTTTCATCCAAAAAGTTCCAAAAATTACTGCGTAGTCATATTTGCCTCCTGCATAGCTTTGGTCAAAGAGGCTTTCACATCATGTTTACTAGAAACAGAAGATATAAACTAGATTACCAGTCTTAGCCAAGCCCATGCCACTTGCAGTATACCCCTCTAAGTGCAATCAAAGTTGCTTTTTTGGCTTCCTAGGAAGGGAACAAAAATAGATTGGTTGGGTTGAAACCCAACCAATAGGAGTATTTTACAATGTAATGTTATTTATGTGTCTGGTTATTTCTTTGCTGATTTGTTTTTGCTTATGTATGGTAGGATTGAAAGCTACTCAGAGTTAGTTAACAATTGGAGCTGTATATAAGCATATAATATACTTATAGTGTGCATATACAGTGGTACCTCTACTTACGAACGCCCCTACTTACGAATTTTTTGAGATACGACCAGCTCCGGCCCCCCCAAATTTACCTCTACTTACGAACTCGGCTCTACTTACGAACCGGAT